TATATATTTTATAGGACTAATTTTCTATTTTACTATACTGACTAGTAAATAAGTAAAAGTCCAAGAGAACTGATAAGAAATAATCGGGTAATGTATGAAATCACAGTTGGGAAAAATATTCTTCTTGCATAAACACGTACTGAGTACCTACTATACCATGCTAAATCTTAACTCCATATTGCAAACTCCTAACAAACTGTTATCAAGACATGCCTGTGCCTCACTGCCATTTAACACATATTTTTAGCATCGATCATATCCACTATGTTAAGCACTAGGAATACTTCTATAAACAAGACAGATGCCATCTCTGTCCTAGATTCTGATGGAGGAAAACAAAGAGAGAAAAGCCAAATAGACATTACAAGAAGGAAGTAAACAGTAAGCCAGCAAATAATAACAGGTAACTACCCTAGAATAAGGTGGTCAGAGAAACCTCTCTGAAGAAGTGAAACTTAGATTAAAGCCTCAGGGACGAAAAGAAGCCAGCCCTGGACAACATCAGAACAGCTAGTCTAAAGGCCCTCAGGTGGGAATGAGTGTCACAGAGCAGAAAGATGGCAGTGTGGCTTGAATATAGTGAGGAGGGGGTGGTGGGTGGTACAAGTTGAGGTCATAAAGGTAGGCAGAAACCAGATCACAAAGAGCTTTTAAGGCCGTGGGAAGTTTAGATTTCATTCCAAGTGCAATGGGAAGCCATTAAGGATTTTAAACAAGAAAGCAACATGATCTGATTTGCATTTTAACAAAAATCATTCTTGTAGTTGTGTGAAGAATGGATTAAAAAGCACTGGATGTGGTGGCTCACGCCTGTAATCCCGGCACTCTGGGAGGCCGGGACAGGCCCATCACTTGAGGTCAGGTGTTTGAGACCTGGCCAACTTGGCGAAACCCTGTGTCTACTAAAAATAAAAAAATATTAAAAATTAGCCAGGCGTGGTGGTGCACACCTGGAGTCCCAGCTACTTGGGAGGCTGAGGCATGAGAAGAATCGTGCTTGAACCCGGGAGATGAAGGTTGCAGTGAGCTGAGATTGCCCAACTGCATTCCAGCACGGGCTAGACAGAGCAAGATTCCGGGCTAGACAGAGCAAGATTCCGTAATAACAGCAAAAAAGAACCAAGAAGAGGCAAAAAAGGAAGAGCAGCTGGGAGGCTATCACAGTAATATAGGCAAGAAATGATGGTGACTGGCTAAAAGGCTAGGAGTAGAGGTAGAAAAAGATCAATTCCAGGTGCATTTTAGAGATGGGAGAGCTGATTGGATGTGAAGGACAGGGAAGATTCAAGCGGGGGATCCTAGGTTTCCGGACAGCACAATCAGATGTATGGAGGTTCCATTTACTGAAATGGATGGTACAAATTACTGAGATTTAGTCCTTATATACTGTGTGCTCATTTTAACTGCCAAATTCAGTGAATTCTTATTACATATATTCTCTCTTCATCTGACAATGCTGAAATACCAAATTCTCCTGGTTTTTCTCTTACTCACAGAGTCTCTTTCTCAGCTTTCATATGCCCCAGAACTCTGTAGTTGGCGCTCTGCTATGTTCTTCAGTACATTTTCCCTGAATGACCATCCAAACAATCTAAGCTTTAATTAACCACATAACTCTCCAAATCCGCATCCCCGAGAACTTTCTCCTCACCTCCAGAAATGTCTATCCAATTGTTTTCTGCCCATCTCCATTTGGATGTCTTACTAGCGTCTCAAACTCAACATACTCAAAAGTATGTCCATCATCTTCTTCCCTCAAGACTCCTATTTGACAATCTGTAAAAAGGCCAAAAATATGCCCAGCTTCCCAAGTCCAAAACCTATGATCATTTTATCCACCTCCTCTTTCAATCCTGCATTAATCAGTTTCCAAGCTCTATCAAACACACTTTCTAAATGGCTCATGAATATGTGTCCTCTCTTCATAGCCCAGTGCTTGAGTTCAGAACTTCATCATCCTCCCCTGGATCATTACAATAGTCTGCTTTCTCGGGCTTCCGTCTCACCCCACTCGCTATCCTTCCCATCTCAATAGACAGAGAAATCCCTGCTGGATTAAGTGTGGCAGAGAAGGCCCTTTGTAAGTTGGTGCCCTTGGCTGTCTCTCCTGCTTCAACTCCCACCATTCACCTTATGTACACTCCAACCTCCCATTATACTGCACCACCACCAACAGGTTCATTCATAACTCTGTATGTACCTCCGCCCCTCCCCAAAGCCTACTCAGTTTAAACTCCCTTCCTCCAGCAGCCAGAACTACAGTCTGATAATGACCCTCCTTCAAGCTCCCATAATACATCTTTACCAATATGCTTCTGGCCTTACACAGTGGTACACACCTGTAGCTCCAGCTGCTTGGGAGGAAAAGGCAAGAAAATCACTGGAGCCCAGGAGTTTCAGTTCTAGAGCAGCCTAGGCAACAACAGTGAGACCCACCCTCCCACCACCCACCTCAGAAAAAAAACAGACGTCTTATACTACTCATCACAGTGTTTCTCTCATTGAATTGCAAATTATTTGAGGGTGAGGACTCTGTCCTAGAGTAGCTTGGTGTTTAATTAACACTTAAAAGATGCTTAGTAAATGTTTGCTGAGTTAACTGTCTTGCTCAAACCTGAGAAGCTTTCTTGTAAAAGATGAACTATTACATGCAGTATCCATGACCAGAAAAAAAGGCGATTTGGCAAGAATTTTAGATTTAGTAATTTTCTAAATTGAACCAATAACATCAGCTGCTGATTTTTACATATCAACATTCATCTTCATTACTGAAGAATTACATCCAAGGTGTATGGGGCTATTACTCTGGTGATCTTTTCACTACTATGTAGTTTCGCACTCCTGCTACATTTAATACCCTGATTTTAATTAAGATCGCCCTATCTGCTTTGTCCTCCACAGCAATGTCTTACCTCTCATGCACAATAATTCTGTCTGAAGTATATTTCTGATAAACTTAAGTCGTTTGATTAAACACAAATACCACCACCAACAAACACACTTTCAACGTTTTTTTTTCTAAGACAAAATACAGAATGAATTATGTCTTATACATACAAGCGTGCCATCATCTGTCAACCTCTGGAGGCTGGGGAGATTTTTACATTTATGCTTTACAACCCCTAGAATCACTGGTTATGTGGAACAGTTGGTGATCCAACAGAACGTCACCTAGTTTTCTCAATCCAAGGATTATATTAAGAACTTTTCCATGAAGACAGAAATTTCTGAGTAAACTCTGGTATTCAGATACTGTGATGCAACTGACATTTTTAAAACAAAAGGAATGAAAAAAACTCTACGTGGTTTCTCAGCAGCTGGCCCTCTTTATAACTGTTATTTGACCAAATTTGGAGACAGCAACAAGCACTTTGCTTTGAACAACTACACAGAAAGTCCTGTGGCAGACACCACTCCAGATGTCCATAAAACAACTCATCCAATTCCCATAAATTGAGCCCGAGGTTTACCATAAGCTTGAGTCAAGATATTTGGTAAGAAAAAGGAGCTTTTTTTTTTTTCCTTTAGGAAAACAATGCTTTTTAATGCTCTATGTCTTGTCAAATTATGGTGGTTACGCCTGGAATTATGATGGATTTGACCTAATTCTTTTAAGTCAGGCCATCTCCTGGTATTCCTAGCTCTTTGCATTTTATATATATATATATATATATATATATATATATATATATATATATATATATTTAGACGGAGTCCTACTCTGTAGCCCAGGCTGGAACGCAGTGGTGCAATCTGGGCTCACTGCAACCTCGGCCTCCCGGGCCCCAGTTCAAGCAATTCTCCTGCCTCGGCCTCCTGAGTAGCTGGGATTACAGGCACGCGCCACCATACCCAGCTAATTTTTGTATTTTTAGTAGAGACAAGGTTTAACCTGTTGGCAGTGCTGCTCTTGAACTCCTGACCTCGTGATCCACCTGCCTCGTCCTCTCAAAGAGCTGGCATTACAGGCGTGAGCCACCGCGCCCGGCCGTAACCATATGTGTGTGTATGTATATATATATATATATATATATATATATATATATATAT